CAAACATCTACGTTATTCACTCCATCTGCACATGTAGCTGCAAAGTCTTGTTCTGCTGATTTGTTTTCACATGGAAGAGCTAGCATAAGGGAGTGTAACACCGCACCTCTACCTCTGTTCCTGACTTGCTGGCAGCCTGATTAATTGTTTGGATCCACATAGTTTTTGCTGTTATGGTCAACTGTGCAGAGAAAACACACAGAAAAACGGCCGTTGTGCTTTAGACATTGCGCTTTGTGGAAAGTGTAATTGCAGGATGCCTGCTGCTGCATCACCTGATAGCTCACACTGCTGTTTCTGCCCTCACCTGCCCTCTATGACATCACACACATATAATTATGAAGAAAATCACCGATGTGTTACATGACATCAGCGTTGACACAAATTCCCATGTTGTGAAGTAAATTTCTTCCTTATTGCTCGTTTTGTTTCAGGAGTTTCTCCATGTTTTCTGTAACCTGGACGCCGAAAGGCTCTTATTGTAAGAGATCAAGCTGGGTTTTATAGATTATTCTCTAATGTTGCAGAATATTGGAAGTAAATATCAAAAGAACAGTCTCACTGAGATACTCTAGCAGCATCCTTTGACCCCTTTTCATTTGTTACGAGTCACATTCAGTGTTTTCCAGTGGAGTTAGAAAGGGTGTTGCGAAACCAAGTTCACGCTATGTGGATCAGACATGTGGAATCGATGCAGAATGCTTATTTATTTATTAATTTATTTATTTACTGCATCTTAATATGCGCTGAACTCAATCAGCTGATTGATAACTTTTAACTTAGTTTAGGGTTAGGTAAGTTTAACTGCCAAAATATCAGAGGGTGTGGATTCGAGTCACATGACTCTGACTCGAGTAAGACTCGAGTCATTATTTTAATGACTTCTGACTTGACTTGATAAAATCTATAAAGACTTACAACTTGACTTGGACATGAACGCCAATGACTTGCGACTTGAATCGACTTGCATCTGTTCACTTGGTGATGACTTGAACATATTTGATATTTTATCACATAAGTGGCACGACGTGGACAAAAATCATGAATCTTTCTTCGTTCTGGGTGTGATTTACTGCTAACTGCAGCAGCACTTTGCTTATAATCCATTTAACTTTCTGCTTGTTTGAGCACATAAACGAAGCTTTAAGAAACTTTATTTCTGGAATTTGTTTATTATCGTCATTAAACTGAAGTTGGACAGATGACTTGAAAATTCAAAGTTAAGGACTTGGACTTGACTTGGACTTCCACATCATTGACTTTGGACTTGACTTGGACTTGGTTGTCTTTGACTTGGACTTGACTCGAGACTTGACTGGAAAGACTTGTGACTTGCAAAGCAATGACTTGGTCACACCTCTGCAAAATATAAACCAAAGGGGTACCACTTTACAACAAGGCTCCCCTTATAAATGGCTAATAAATGGTTTATAAATGTATTATTAATCAATCTATAATGCCTTGTAAAGACTAATAAATGTTTATTATACATTAATTAAGGGTGAGAAAAAGACTAAATTTACTAGTTTCTTGCCAAATAGTGAACCAAATCTGTTGACTTACAGTATATACTTTATCGAGACTTCATATATTAAACATTTCAAACTGTGGAACTACCTTTTAAGCACTATTAGCATTTGGAAACAATGTTTTGGGCAAATAATAATGTACCTTATGACTGCATTATAAATACTTACAATTATTAAAGGGAGCCTTATTATAAAGTGTAAAACATGTCTTTATCTATTAATGATTGACAAACATTTATAAATACAAACTGGAGCCTTATTGTAAAGTGTAAATCATGTCTTTATTTATTAATGGTTAATAAACATTTATAAATACAAACTGGAGCCTTATAGTAAAGTGTAAAACATGTCTTTATTTATTAATTTTTAATAAACAAGGGGGGATTGCCATTCCCTAGTATCTGTTTATCTGTTGTGCTCTCACAAATAAATACATTTTCATTTACATACTTTAATAATTAATATAAAATACATATTTCGACACCATTTATAAACCATTTATTAGACATGTATGAAGGGAGCCTTGTTGTAAAGTGGTACCAGAAAGGTACTACTATGTTTATTTTTGTACGTTTCAGAAATCCGTTGTTGTTGAAAAAACAAAACTAAAGAAATCTAGAAGACGAGTCGTTTTAAAGGTCTTGTTTGTATTGAACTTAACTTTTTTAACCTAATAAAATAAAAACAGTAGAACAAAAATAATATGTGTAAACAATGGAGACTTCTGTTTTTACTGAAACATTTTTGACACAATTATTTTTGTTACTTGTGCTTGGATATCAGAGATCTATTGAGTACAGTGGTGTGTTAAACAGATGTGCAGCAGCTGTGGTGAAAGTGACAGTCTCTCTGTTCCAGTTCATCAGGATTAGCAGAGAAGCGCTCGGGTCAGAGCCGCTGATGTCAAAGAGAAGAAGAGCACAATCTGGGCTCATCTGGTTCTTCTTAAGGAAACACAGCAGAACCGTAAAACGGTGCAACAGAAACTAAATTAGCGCACTAATAAACAGATTCCTGAAATATTTGTTTACGTCGGTAGTAAAAAAAACTTATTTGCTAAATTATTGGATTCAACATTCAGTTAAAGGGGCATTATGGAAGTGTGACAGCCAAAACATGTATAGAAATAATAAATGTCTTCTTCATACATTCTCCTGCAATGCCCTGGTCCTGTAGAATGAGCCCTGGCATTTTTACTGTGATTGCCTGTTTTTCTGTAAAATCACAGAAAAAGAGAGATGCTCGGGTCGAGCAGGCTGCTTCATGCGCGTTCACGCTCAGGCATCGCCCGTAGCTTTTGCTATCCGTAGCTTTAGCAGCAGAGAGAGAGGCAGTGCCACTTTGTCGCTGTTCCTAACGCCTAGTGACAAAGCTAGCTACATTTCTGAGGACCCTTAGCTACTTTCTGTAGAACTTTCTTCTAGATATTTCCTGCAAATTAGCAACAAAATAGTAGCCTAGTGAACTAGACCAAATTCTTGCTTTGCAAAGAATGGTCTAGGCACGCTCCATTGGAACCTCAGCAGCTCCTACCACGACTCTGGCTAGCCAATCACAGCTCTCTAGAGGGGTTTCAAACACATAAAGAGCTGTGATTGGTCCATAATGGTGGGCCAATCATAGTGCTCTATCTGCTTAGTGAACAAATCACAGAGCTTTATTCGCTTTGTGGGCTAATCAGGGCACTCTATATGCCTGATGGGTGGGATGATGCAACAGAGTGAAACATGAGTATGTCACATTCATTGTCCAGTGGCATGCGGAGATCATTTGAAAGACAACGGTAGAACCCGCCTCACAACTGAGAGCCGTCAATGGAGCATGGCCAGACTAAATAATACATTTATTTAGTCTGGCTTGCCAGGCTAACAAAATAGCCATTTTCACTCCGAACCGTTCTTTTACTACTACTATTAGACATTCTCAGCTGTCACTCAAACTCGTTTCTAATGTTTCTAATGTTTCTACAGTTTTCATTTATTTACTTTACAACGTAATCAAAGCTTTTTCTGGGTGAACGTTTTTAATATAAAAACCTTTTTCTAAAAGCCAACAGCCTCTTAACTAATGTATTTTTGTTTTTCAACAATAATTTTAATTGGCATTCGGCATGTGGTGCAGTGTTGAGCATTTATTGGCTTTATGAGAATGCCTAACTGGACACATGAGCTGATTTGAGCTCATTTTGATTCCTGCTGCACGCAGGGCTGCAAAAGTGGGTACGACCTACTCTTCCAATGTTTTTCAACCAAAGAATTTAAAACTGGGGGAAAAAACAACCTGCAAATCTAAACCAAAATACAATAATGTATAGGGCTTTATTTTATTTAATGGGCGATAGAAGAAGTTTGCTTTAAATTTTAGTTGATTTGTGTTGATTAAACATATATTGCAGGATATTTTTCTATAACAATAAGTGATCCACCAGTACATTTAGTGGGGGTAAATATGTGTTTCTCTGTAGGTGTGGACTGAGCTGCTGCCTCATCAGGCAGAGCGCGAGCAGCCGTGGGCAGCTTTTACTGTAGAGTTTTCTGCATTCAGAGGTGACTTTCTGCTGGTCCCTCCTCCACTGGTTTCTACTTTTGTATTCACGGATGTAGGCCAGCACCGTCTATTTCCTAGCAGTCATTTTGTAGGTGTACTTTTGGAATGGAGCCATCCTCATGCATCATCCCTGGTCCTCAGGCATCACGGCATCCCCTGTTGGCCTGCACCATCATCATCATCATCATCATGATGATGATGATGATGATGATTATCATGATCCCCATGATCAACATCATCACCATCATCATCATCACCATCATCATCATCATCACCATCATCATCATCATCATCATCATCATCACCATCATCATCATCATCACCATCATCACCATCATCATCATCATCATCATCATCATGATGATGATGATGATGATTATCATGATCCCCATGATCAACATCATCACCATCATCATCATCACCATCATCATCATCATCACCATCATCATCATCATCATCATCATCATCACCATCATCATCATCATCACCATCATCACCATCATCACCATCATCATCATCATCACCATCACCATCTCGGCTAATAGCAGCTTGAGCAGGGATGAGTGGGTGTGGCCAACTCCAGCCTGTTTTCTTAAAGTGAAAGCTCATTCTATGTAGAAAAAACTTTAGCATGTGGCACAATTCTTGTTGTTTTGCTTTCAAAAGAGCAAACCATCTTTGGTTTACTCTTAAAAATCTGAAGTCTGCTTGCTAGTTTTAACCTTATCAGTTGGTTTATGGAGCTCAAATTTAAATGCACACAAGACTGTTTAACATTGGCAGATTAATCATTAAACAACCAGAAAATTAGCGTTTGTGTAACAGGTATACAGGAAGTGTATGTATGGGAGGAAGGAACAGAGAAGAGGTCTTTCTTGCTTATCTGTGTTTCTTTCTAATGCACTACCATTCTCTCTCTCACAGGGGAAGTTGGTGAAGTACTTCAGCCGCCAGCTGTCCTGTAAGTGCAAAGTGGCCTTAGAGGAGCGAAATGCCGAGCTGGAAGACTTCCCTCGCCTCGGCCACTGGTTCCGTATCGTCAATCTGAGGAAAGAGGTCACGGAGGTGAAGCATGTTACCTTGTAGTGTCCTTATTCTCCCTGAAGCTAAACAAATGTTATTCATTTGCTCAAGGGAATCATAAAAACACCTGAAGAATACATGGTTGGATGATTACAGTCAAAACATTGGTGGATTTTTTGCTGCTAGAACATCCAAATGAATCAAAACTTGACTTAAAGGGACATTATGGAAGTGGGACAGCCAAAACATGTATAGAAATAATAAATGTCTTCTTCATACATTCTCCTGCAATGCCCTGGTCCTGTAGAATGAGCCCTGGCATTTTTACTGTGATTGCCTGTTTTTCTGTAAAATCACAGAAAAAGAGAGATGCTCGGGTCGAGCAGGCTGCTTCATGCGCGTTCACGCTCAGGCATCGCCCTCCAAACTGTTCTTTGAACGTTGTTTCGGCTGTCATCAACGATATAAATGTTACAGCTACTGATGACATCACTGGTGCTTTAGCTTGCCTAGTAAGATGTTGGACTCTCGTGCAGAAGACCTGGGTTTGATTCTGGATGTGAACATAGTTTATTTAGAGTTTATTTTTTACATTAATGGTAATTTTTTTTACAGTAAGATGACCAAATTTTTATTTGAGACTCGCCGAACGGCATTGAATTCACAGATAAAAAAGATGTGGGTTCAACTTTTATTTTGGAACAATTTTTCAAGCAAGGGAAGGGAATGATCTGAGCATGCAGGAGGACTGACCCATCAAAAACCTTTGTCGGCTGTGCTGAAGAGAAAGGTACAGAACCTAATTATTTAATTAATTAGCTGCACGTTCTCCTGTCCTCCGGGCCACACACACACACACACACACACACACACACACACACACACACGCACACACACACACACACACACACACACACACACACACACACACACACACACACACACACACGCACGCACGCACGCACGCACGCACGCACGCACGCACGCACACACACACACACACAAGGGACTGTCTCAGCTGTTATTTTCATTAAGGAGTGTGCACGTACAGCATGCGCGCCTCGAGCACGAGCCTACTATTGAAGCTGCTGTTTTGTTTTTGGCCAGAGGGGGCAATCACGAGCATAAAAATTCAAAACTCCGTAAAGTCCCTTTAATGCGGATGTAAAAGGTGAGTTATTATGGGGTCCTGATTTATTTAGTCATGTTTCCAGGAGATGAACGCAGGAGAGGTGACTCTGGAGGGTCTGCTGGAGATGAGCGACAACCAGGTGTGTGAGCTGCTGCAGAAGTTTGGTGCCAATGAAGAAGAATGTGCCCGACTCAACGCTTCCCTTTCTTGCCTCAAGAAGGCCCACCAGCTTGGTGAGGGCTGACCCAAAGCACTCAGAACATGTGCTCACACTGCGCTAAATAAAATATGTTCAACCTCAATATGTTCACACAGGAAATTACAGATGGTCTGGCTGTTAATAACACCCCACAATCATTTATTTAGTCATTTTTCTAATTTAATTCATTCTTATGTGAGCTAAAAACTTTTTAACATGTTCATCATTGATGGAATGAAGTTCTTGAGGATATAAATTAGAAACATGAAGTTTAGTCCATAAAGTGTCCACATCAGTGAGCAACAACCTAGCAGCAATTGTCCTACATCACTGAGGTATGTGAGAAACACCGTCACACCAGAATATGACTGTTGAATTTATGACACTGAATTTTTATTCTGTCAAATTCTGTATTTGATTTTTTTTATTTAAAGTAGATCAACAAAAATCTCATCCCTAAACATTCTAATGCAGCATTTAATCTTTAAAGAGGTCCTTCACTACTGTTTTCATACATTGCAGTGGTCTCTGGTAGGAATGAAGTCATACTCTAGCTGTGCCTGTTTCAGGAACTATACGTTAGCCAGATCAGGGGACAACTTCAGATTTGAAGGGTTTTAAGTCTTACTTCCTGACTTTTTTGGACATCTCTCCTCTGATTGGTCAACAGCAACATGATTATTCCACTGACTCTGTTTGCTCAGCAACGGTGATGTTTTATCTCCACAAATAACACAATCCTGGAGGAGTTCTGCTGTGTGGTGGAGCTGCTAATGCTAGCGGTTAGCTTCTACTAGTTGAGACATTCTCTGTCGTTTCCTGGTGAGTCCATGAACGTTAAGTGACAGTGTGATGTAGGTCTATCAGACATTTCTCACCCTATTTCCTGTCAGAAGCTAATGCAGGAGATAGGGGTAGGAGACTATTTTCATGTTCAGCCTGCATGAAGCACTGAGAATGACCGATCATTTTCAAAAGTAATATGTAAAAATTGGTTTGTGATTTTTGTTTGTTCCAAAGACCAGATCTAAAATTCGAGGTGATCGCTCTTCGCCGCCATTTAAATGAACTTCCTTTATCCTTAAATAGCACGAACAGTCTGCACACCTTTAAAAAGCAGCGGAAGACTCTTTCATTTGAATTTGCTTTTACTTAAATTTTTTGTGTTTTCTGATTTTAAAGCAACAATGAGTGTTTTGAAAATGAATAAAATGATGTCCAGTTGTTGAAAAATATTGGCGGCTTCGTGCAATATAACCATAAAAATCGGGTCTAAAATACATAGGGAGCCGATTTAGAGACTTTGAGGGACACCTTATCAGACGTCATGTTTCCTTCTGGCTGGATCGGGGTCCTGCACTTGTCGATGATGTCACACTAGATGATTGGCTGGACGTAGGACTTATGGAAGTTACGTTAGCACGTCAAAAACACATTTAGGTAGTAAGAAACACAAATTTAATAACAAAACTGCTCAAGTCTTTGCAAAATGTGTGAAGAACAGAATCCAAAAAGAGATACAACACATTCTGGTTGAGTTTTGTACCACTTTACAATAAGGCCGCCCCTATAAATAGCTAATAAATACTTTATAGATTAATTAAAATGAAGCATTTTGTCATTGTGCCTAATGAATATGACCTTGTTTTACTTTTCACAATAAAGGTCCCTTTGATTGTTATGATTAATAAAATTGCAGTGATAAAGATATTCTCCTTGTGCAGCTTATTCTGAAAGGTTTAAAATAACAACTCTAGCAGATATGGCTCAGTTAGTTTAATTTTTTTATTCATAGAAATATTTAATTACAATTACTTATAGAATTAAAATGACAAAAAGGCAAAACATTTTAGGAAATTAAATGTAATTTTCTTGCTTCTCTGGCGTTTAATTGTAACTTCAAAACTAAAAGTAATCTCTTAGGAAATACGTGTATTTGGTGTTTTTTAAAATATGAACATTATGTTTGGTTTAATTAATGATACATTTCTTTAATTTTATAAAGATTTTGTAAGTGAAAATTAAAAATGAAGGCTCTGTAAGCTTTGCCAAATGTTTCTTTGCCCATTTTTTTTACACAAAAAAACTAACTATTACTAGAATTTATTCATTCTCTCATTATTTTCCCCTAATATTTATGTATTTCTTATTGCAAAACAGTGTTTTCTTTTGAAGAAAACCCAGAGACCCCTTGCTAGACTACATGACATCGATATTATAACAAAATCCAAGGACGTTTCTAGTTTTAAAAACTTGCTTTTATCTGCCTAACCTTTATTTCTAAAACTATTTTGGAATATTTTGGAATTAGATAAAAAAATAAAATATTTCATCGTATTTTAACTAGATCTTATCCATTAATTGGCATTATTTTTGTTAATTATGATCCATTTTACAAGACTTGTTCACATATTATTGGAGTAAAATTTGGGAATCAAACCATGTAGAAAATAAAATGTGATAATAAATTTTAAATACTTACTAAGTCGCCTTTTTTAGTTGTAAATGACTAATTCTAGATGAAGCCTTTCTAACCATGCATTTACCAGACACTCACGTGCACTACCCCAAAGCACCACCAGGTGGCTCAAACAGACCGTGCTTGTGTTCAGGCCGTCACCTGCAAAGACAACAATAAAGCAGAAGGGGGCAGTAGAGCATCACTAAAACTAGGAAGAGTGGGTTTGAGAACATTTCAGTTTTCTCTGCAGAAGATGGAAGACTGAATAATTACAAAAGTTACCATCCATCCATTTTCAGAACCCGCCTTGTCCACGTGTGTGTGTGTGTGTGTGTGTCGGGGGGGGGGGGGGGGGGGGGGTGAGGGGGGGGGGGGTGCTTGGGGCGCCTGGTGCCTGTCTCCAGCGTCCACGGGCAATCAGGCGGGGTACACCCTGGACAGAGAGCCAGTCCATGGCAGACAAAAGTTACCACGAATTATCAAAATGATTGCATCTGAGGAGACCCACTTAAAACAAAATTGTTTTTAGGCTTTTATTCCCCTAAAATCTTGAATCCCTCTTATCAAATAATAAAATCTACTTCTCTCACTGCCTTTTGTTTCTCTTATTCTGATTAATTTAGTAAGACATCCTTCAGGTTTTCTTTATTCACAACTGAAATGGCCACATCACGTTTAAAATGTTCTAAAAATTGTTGTTGGTGGCATCATTTGGTCTAAATTAACCCTAAAACGAGGTTTTGAGTCACTTGTTGCATCAGATTGAGAGATAAGGTCTTCAGAGCCTGAGGGAAAATAGAAAACTGCCAAACTGGTTTTTTACTGTTTCTGTCTAAAACTGTAAATCATCACAGGAAGTGGCCGTCTAACGTCAGCGAGTCACAAATATTAGCGTTTGGGATTTTCCGTCTCTAATAATTCACTCAGAAATGAAAACTAACAAATACTGCATGTTAGTCACAGTTAAAGGAAGCAAATTCAGTTTATATGTAAACATATATTTAGATAAATCACACCTTTAATGTCCTCCTGATGGGAAAGGAAAGTTTACATGGAGATTAAAAACAGCTGATATGAAATGAATTTGCGGATAAACACAGATGTTTTCCTTCTAACCAGAATAAGAGCAGGGAAACTGTCTTCTTACCCTTTTTTTTCATATTTCATTATGACTCTTAAAATAAAAATCAGCTCTGGAGCCACGAGAGCGGCTGCATCCTGCTTTCCAGCAGATAAAACCTTAATGTTTTGAATACTTTGTGACTGAATCACTCCGTCTCTCATGTCAGGGTGGGATTACTCCTCAGGATGCATCATCATCCACTCTAAACCAATAACTTCTTCAGGAAATAAAAAAAACACTTTAAATTATCGGACTGCTTCTGATTCTTTAAATCCAGATTTTAAAGCGGGCAAATCCATTTTTTCTTGTTTTCTGTTGCAGTCTTGTTGATTCAAATCAGAGCAGGTGCGTACACATTATAGACTTTAGTGCTTTGTTCAGCATCAGATTTAATTATTTTCACCTGGTAATGATGTCATAATCTAAATTAAAAGCTTAAGCCCAACAACACACCAGAGTGGACTTATTACCCCTCATGTTTGACCAATAAAACCAATATTTACCCATCTGCTGTCACATATGTCCGTCCACAGAGAAGTGTGGCGGTCTGTTTGTATTTTCCCCTTTATAATGTTTTTATTAGTGTGTTTGCTTCTCCTCATTTGTGTCTCCCTTCCCTTCCTCCAGCTCTCCAAAGCCGGCCACACAGAGCCAATAATGGGCTCTCTAACGGAGGAGAAGGGTGGGGTGGTGGTGGTGGGGGCTTACGTGTGAATGCACCACGGCAACACCGCCGCACAGAGCGGCACTTTTCAGCCGAGGCTGGCTGTGGCGTTCCTCTTATTCTTACCCAGATGGAGAGGGAGATGTGCCGCAGCTTCTGAAAACATGAGCACATCTGTGCACGGCAGAGAGAACCAGTGTTTCAGCAACCATTTATGCAAGAAATAACAATGAACAAACGGGTTTAAATGCCCTTTTAGACACCAGTAGTGAAGGGTTTTTGAAAAGAAACAAGTTTTGTTGAGAAAAGAAAAAAAAAAAACAGATTCAGTCGTCAGGAATGAAGGGAGAATGTCATTTTCAGATTTTTGCTGACGTCGTTTAACATTTTTCATTTCATGAGTCATTAGGAGTAATGTGGATAAACGTAGTCTTTGGAGTCTGCTTTAGTTTGGGTTTGCACATATTTGCAGAAACAGGGAAAAGTGGAGGGATGCTGTTCTGCAGGTGTAAGGGTGGAGGACGGAAACTAATGCAAGTTAATAGAAATGTTCACTACCAGCTCTTGGGGCTCGCGTCACAACGAGGATGAGTCATACAGTTTGGAGGCAGCCGGCCGGTGCTTTGTGCCGCAATATGCACACATGAACCCGTCCGCCCCGTAGACAAGTCTACACACACACACACACACACACACACACACACACACACACACACACACACACACACACACACACACACACACACACACACACACACACACACACACACACACACACACACACAC